AATAAATATTTACGAATACTTAAAGCATCTCCCGATTCGCTAGACGTATATTAACTATCATATAATGTTACAGTTTTTATTTGATTTTATATCAATCTATTTTTTTTTTGTTATATTTATAAAACATTCACTTATTAATTCTTTTTTCATTTTTATTTGTAAAAAAATACGGTAATTTTGTAAATAATTAAAATATGAAATGTATTTTTGTACAAGCGTATTTTGTGGACTTAATTCAATTAATTATTTTTTATTATATATATATACTACACACTTTTTACCACAAAATCTTTTGCAATTTGGCAAGGATTTCTGTTTCATTATAAAACTAATATTTTATGTACATATTTCAATATAATTAGACATCAATGAATGGTTTAATAAAATGAATTTTCTTTATAGAAATAAAACTGTTTCAATTAAAGAAACATTAATATGTTTACTTGATAACTAGTATATTGGTGAAGTTAAAAGTTTTGAGCGTTTTTCGTTGGATGGCTTTAATGAGCCATATCTCACGATGTATAGGTTGCATCTTGTCATTCTAAACTGCGATTTAAAGGCGACATAACGCTTTAAAAAAAGTTCTTGAACAGTTTTATGTGTAGTGAATCCTGTTGTGTTAGAGCGTTCCAAAGTGGAGGTAAAAAGAGTAAAATTCGATACATTCTTCAGGAGCAAGCTGCCAAAAAATGTTGTGTTGTTTATGGATCCAATACAGTATTGAGTGCAACAGCAAAGCGTTCGTTCCAATGCTTCAGTTCTGATAATATGGAAGTCGAAGATGAGACACGCTCTGGTAGGCCAATCGTCAAAAATTTTGATAAAATCTTGGAAATCGGCATGCCCAGGATCTGAAGATTAGCCAGAACCATTTGCATAAGACTAGTCTCAAGAAGAATCTCGATGTATGGGATGTATTTTGTTATATTTGTATTTATTAAATATGATTAATTTAATAAGATCTTTCTGTTTTCTTTGTTTTTATGTAAAAAATAACAGTTCTTTTGGAACTACTGAAAATATGAAACCGGTTTTTGTATAAGCCACTTTTGTGTACTTAATTGAATTAATTATGTTTTATTATATATATTTACTACACACTTTTAACCATAAAATCTTTTGCAATCTGCCAAGGATTTCTGTTTCATCATCAAGCTAAAATCCATTTAAAAATTGGGAAAAATACATGAAAAAGGTCACGACTGAAATTGAAGAGATATGCAATATAATTGGAAAAGATTTGAGTGTTGTTTTTTTTAACATTTTCTTGAATAAATGCAATAACTTTAACAAATATATAAAAACCGTACAGCAAGTAACGTGCACTTAAAAAAAAGACATCTGGTATGGCTTACATTTTTGGCAGGCACTTATCAGATTAAAGGCAATAAATAAAAGCGACGTTTCAAAAATATAATTTATTGATGCTGCATTCCCCGTGCGAGTGAATACTACCTGTCACGGACAGCAGGAATGCTTGCATATTTGCTTTTGATTAAATGATTTTACATAATTAAAGTTGCCGACCGATTTTCCGTCTCTCTAAAAATAGAACGTCCTTAAGTTTCTCCACAAAGTACGCATTGTGACATCCTCTGTTTGATGCCCTTTACGCAACCATTCACATATTTGCTTCCGTGTTTTCATTATTTGTCCACTTATGTTATTGGGTTTTCATTGCTTAAATAATAATTTCCCTTTCGATAAACTATTTCCCATAGCATACACCAATTTCTATTGATTTTCTTCCGAGACGAAATATAAATTCTAATCGTATTTCTGTCATATGTCCGCTTTCTATCAGGTTACGTTTGAAATCCTGGAAGGGTTAGAAAACGTAATAACGACGGATCGCGTGATAGATATACTAATCGTATTTATATTAGATGGAACAAATCGGAATGGATGTTGTTGGTAAATTAAATGGAAAAAAATAATTTTGTTTTCGTATTGAAACCTCCTGGTTGGACTTTGCGAAAACTAATTACAATGCGCTAATCGATATTATTTAAATTTAAACTAATTATTCTTCATCTTCTTGCAATGCGAATACATAGATCGTGCTTTAAAATTTCATATATACAGTATATCAATTTATGCGGTATTTTTTATGTATGCACGCATGTTGTTACGACTCATATAAATAAGTAAATATTTTTTGCAGGAAAACATACTTTTAACCAATCGATATTTTATAATTGTCAAATAAAATCTGAATAAATAAAATACAGTAATACCTCGTATAGAGCGGTTTCGATCAGTTCGGATTCACTATAGTCCGGTTTGTAGATTTCAAAACAAAATAAATTTTAGCTCCAGTTAATCTTTTCATATTACATTATTGTTATTGAATACAAATATTATTTTTCTGCAATTGTTGCAATAATGGTTATTATTACCCGTACTATTAGAGGTATTGCTATAGTTATATTATTGAAATTGTATGAATAGCTTTGGTTAAGCCGAAACTTGTACGGAGAAATAAAAAGAAAACAAAAGTACTAGCTATGGGTCAAAATGACCCTTTGATCAAATGTTGTCAAAAATAGAACAAATTATTGATTTTTACAATAAACACAGGTTCATTCTTATCATTTAATGAATTTTTCATCATTTAAAACTAATTTTATTGCTTATAACAGTTTAGGTATTTTTATTGAGCAAATGTAATTAATTGGCTTTATGTTTCTTGATGCTCTTGGTTTGACAAAAAAAAACACGTCTTCGTTTTCGATGTATGAATCCATTCATTAGCTTATGTTTCAACAGGACTAAGATTTTGGGGAATCTTGTGGTTATATCTCAAATGATTTTTATTTAGATAGTAATTTGTTACATAGTGTTTGTGACAGAAATGTATGCCCCTGTAAGCCTAAGCTCTTTCGGCATTTGCGCAGATATCTTATGGTTACACATGCGATTTTGCATATGTGGTTTACATGTTTTATCTCATTGATTCCATGTATAACTCAACGATATTTAATATACAATGAAAGAAAGCCATTGGTACATTTTTCATCGAGTTCATCCACACATTCTTTGTCTCATTATATAAATGTATGATATCAGTTGTTTTTCGATTTCCATTCACAGTATTAGTGTGTTGCATACTTGATATAAGAATTACTGATTTTCTTCATTTTAGTACATGGTAAAGCAAAGTTATTTCACTTTTAAATCCAAATATTGATGATATTTCAAGAACGTATTTACTATGGACGGGTCACTTTGACCCGAAATACACTCTATAATAAAATAAGTACAATAGAAAATAATAGATTAGCTAGATGGTCAACCCACACAGTTAAATTAGAATAGAATGCGAATTGAAGCAAATATCAGGTGGGTCACTCTGACCCATCCGTAAAATATACGGATTAATATAGTGACTCTTCTCAATTTGCGATATAATTCATTCATTCTGCACAATTGTAGGCTTTAATCAATTGCCTATGATTAGGAACATTTAATATGACAAAGGTTACTTTAGATGCGTCAATATATCAGTTAGTAATGAAAAACATCATTTAGGTCAAATATGATCATCTGCAGGAATGAAATCACGCGCTTTGGAAGATTTATCAATTATGATATCATCTCACAATATAATTCATGCACGATTAAATGATCACCAGTTATCCAATACTACGACCTTAATACAATGTATTCACTCTCATTTTATTTGTCCTAATTTGGCCTTAACAGATCCAATGTTCTTCCAAAATTTCAATAATTTACACTATTATTATACATACAATGTATATTAATATTAACTATTAAACTATTTGTCGAATAAAACAAGTTTTTTTTGTAGGTTCTCAGAAATAGAGTCATTTCCATTGCATTTTTCGAGGACAAATGTAAATTAAAACTAATTTTATATACCCTAATTTGGCTTAAACAGATCCAATGTTCTTCAAATGTTTCAATAATTTACACTATTACATACAATGTATAATAATGTTAACAATTAAATTGTTTGTCGAATAAAACAAGTTCCTTTTGTCGGTTCTCAGAAATAGATTCATTTCCATTGCTCTTTTCGAGGACAAATGGAAATAACAACTTTGCGGTAAGTAAGGAAAGTATTTTCAGAATTGCAATAAAACTATATTTAAAATAGCATTTCTGTAACACACTAACCGTAAAAAAAACATTGAACAATTGTTTCAACAATAAAAAAAATCAATCACTTTTGTACGTGATTTTCACAGTGAAATTAAATAATGTACTGTTAGTTTTGTTGATTTTAAAAAGAATAATAATAATTAATACGATTTATGGGACAGTTTTTCAAATAGAATATTTTATTACCTTCAAATCATAGTAATTCAAATTTTTAGTCAATTTTTCTATGTAAAAACATATTAGTGATTTCAGAATTATAAGTTGAATTAAATAAGTATTTATTAACGTTTATATATTTATTTGGATGAAGTTAATATTATTAACATATTAATATCAACTTTACTAAAATTCAATAAATAGTTTTCCTATTACTGCTGGAATATCTATGAAAACGAAGTATTTAATACTGGCGACATCTACATAATTTTTAGTAGAACTTAAGCGTTGAACTGTAATACATTTTCATTTGAAATCATATTGCAATATAATTCCGATAGATGGCGATGCATATACTAATTCAATGAAAAATTTCAGAAAGAATATTGGTGATAAGCTCAAATAAATGATAAAATATTGGGATTTTCCACGTAATTAATCTTTCCAATAATTTCAATACTAATCATGCAAATAATAATCTATTAACCTTTTTTTTTCATATTTTTGTCATTGGTGACTTAACTGTATGTATATTGATTTGTAAATGAAAAATTTGTCTTAATAAAATTCTAAAAAATATAAATAATAGTATTAAAATATTCCATGATAATGTTAATCTTTGAGTCAAGGGTTACATAATTATTATCTATACAAAAAATATATAAAAACAATGCATTCATATTCATATTATATGTTTATCAAGGAGTAGAAACTTTGGAAAGAATAAATGTACTTCTTGATATAAGAGCAAATAACAACCGGAGGAAAAACCAGTTGCGAACAGAATTTCAGTGAGTCAACAACGATAATACGATGAAGCCCACCAGAGGAATTCTAACCATTTTATTCGTTTGTGCATACCTAAGTTTCGCAAATTGCTGCCACACATTCAAAAATACGGAAGCGGAAATAAAGCCACAAAACGAGCAAGTCTACACCGACAAAATCACCGGTTGTATAGAACGAGCCAACGATGCTTTCCAAGGTAAAACAATTGAGCATGTAGCAGTAAAGCAACAGATGCTGCCTCATATCTTCAGAGATTCCATCAGGCATTTGGTCAAACTCAAATCCATACGATTCGAGAAATGCGAGATTGAAAGTATCCATCCATATACATTCAGGAATCTTCCGAGGGTCGTAGAGATCGCCTTTACAGGAAACAACATTTCCGAAATAAAAGCAGAAACTTTTGCTAGAGATATGCCCGTCCAGATATTAAATCTTAATGATAATAATATTAAAAGCGTGGAAAACTTTCAGAACATGCCAAAACTGAAAAGGCTGTTGATAAAAAATAATAAAATTTCAGCTATAACCAATAATTGGTTCATTAATAGTACAAGTTTACAAGAGATCGATATATCCCACAACAAGCTTGAAAATCTCACTGCCAACTGCTTTCAGTACACGAAGAATCTTGTTAAAATTGATTTGAGCTATAACGATATTAGTAAACTATCAAAAAACACCTTTGATATATTGAAAAATATCGATTTTCTTAATTTGAGAAACAATAGAATATCTCAAATTGATGGAAACGCTTTTGTGAATAACGCAGTTATTAACCACTTGAATCTGGGTGCGAATAAATTGAACTATCTGCCCACCGCTCTAATGGATAACATCAAAGTGAAGACGTTTACAATAACTGGAAATCCCATGAGATGTAACTGCATTGAATCGGTAACGAAATGGTTGGAAAGGATCGAAGGAGTCATGGTGCCACTTCAAGGCTGTACGGATTCCCGTTTGCCGTATTGCGTTTTTCCCAAAATTTTATCACTTGAATGCGAGGAAAACATTGATAATGAATCAGTTCAAAGATACATGGGAATTATTAAAGGCAATAAGGAATTACTTGCATGTGCGAGTGACTTCTTTTATTAATTGTGTTAATATCATTTTATTATTCTTTACATATGTCATTAATTTTAAATTGCAATAAAATAATTTGAATATTTATTTATTTTTTTTAATTGAAGATATGCATAGGTAGGTTTAATTTATACATAATTGACTACTAACGATATTCTTTGAATTTTCTGGGATATTCCCAATGAAATAGAAGCACTTTCACAATACTTTTAGTTATTTATTTTCTTATAAGCATCAAGGACTTGCACTTTTTTGTCATTGGAATTATAAATATATATTTATTTATCACGACGTTTGCAATAAACAATATTCTTATACATCTATCACTCGTTTTACACGGTACTTTCGATGTTACACGGTTTAAAAAAAATTAATGTTAAAAATTATTCATCCCTCGTTTTACACGGTAATTTCTCACGTGTAAATTGGGGATATGTGTATTTCATTAATAAAATATCAGAAAAAATATGCATTAAAAAATCTGAGTGAAGTCAAAAGTTCTGAGTCTTTTTTCTCTTTATTTCGACGATGAAATTAACAAAGTTAGAATTTTCGGATTTAGATCAAATATTATTTTTTCTTCGATAACTTTTGTTCATTTTGAAGGAAATTTCATAATTTTGCGATTGAAGAAATCGTCGTCTCTATTGGTAAAAAACTTGACCAGTTCATTTTCAAAAGCCTCTCCTGATGCCAGTTTTTTAAAGCGTTATGTCGTCTTTAAGGAAAAACGCTCAGAACTTTTTACTTTACCCAATATTATGTGTATTCAATTACTAAATACGTTATAAATAAACTTTCAGGACAATTGAAATTAAATAAACCATGAAAATAAAAACAAATCGATTACTATTTGTGCTTGTATTAATTCAAGTTGAACACATTGTTTAGTTTCAGCTATTATTGTTTAATCCAGTTATTGTACGAAGCATAAGCCTCGAACACGTGACATTTCGGATCACGTTGACCGTCTCGTGACACACACATATATATACAGACCGAAAATAGAGGTATACATTTGTACGAGCTTTCACACAAAAGTCATTACCACAGTTTTGATGAGACATGAATTAAAAAATATAATACATATCTCATTGCAAAGACACGTGTCTTAACATTACCGTTTATTGTACATTCAATTTTCAACAATCCAATTGTGCAGAATGTAATATGGGTCCGTCTTTTTTGTTACTTAATGATCACTGGAAGCTACGTAACACACGGATTTTCATCATTATTTCTTTTTTGATACCGTCCGAAAATTTTCGCACGTGATGGAAAATGTGAGTTGAAAATAAATCAATTTCAAATCGTTTTATAAATATATGAAATATATGTTGTACGATTATATAAAAAATAAAGATTTTAACATGATAACAATAATCAAATAAAAATAATTAATTAAGTGATTATTTATTATTTGATTTTGTCTTACAACAACATTGACTGATCACTTCATCCAACACAATATTATACTTGAATTATTTAGATATATCTGTATCTGACCCTGATCTTATTAACTTTTTATACTAGTTTTATCTATTGATTCATCTTCTTTTATGCAGTATTTGTGTACTGAGTTTGATTACATTACATTTGGATAAACTAGACATAACTGATAGTAACAGGAGCAACCTTGGACTTTCACATCCCTTCTATCATCTTTATCTGATTATAACATAATTGCAATATTATGAAAATTAACTTAAAATTAACTCAATAGAAAGAAATATGATTTTTTTTTCATAGAAGCAAAACATTGTCAATTTTCTATATAATGAAACACTGAGTTTGATTTATTATATACTTCTATTAACGAATGTTTGCACTTAAACTATTAATAGAGTTTTTCTATCTTAACTGTTGCTTGTTAATGCCGACATCGGAAAAAAACGTGAATAATAATTATTTTGTGTACATTTTAGAGCAAAGGTTTCCAAACTTGATGTTACTACGCCTCCCTCAAAAGTATGTAATCATTTGGCGCCTCCCCAACACCTCCATTTCATAAAAGGAACTCGTATTACAGCAATATGGATAAGAGCACAGGAATGTATCTATACTAGCTGGATTCAACAAACATTCAGCTTTCATTTGCATCTTTTG